GTCCCGTTGTGCTCTTCCCATCATCTGGATCCACATTATGGCTGCTATCGCTATAGCCAACCAACTTCGGTATCTTCGTACTTGACCTCTCGATTGTTAAGCCAAGTGTGGTAGTTCCCTTCAAGTACCGCAGACATTGCTTCATAGCCACCCCGTGTGACTCTCTAGGACTCTGCATATATAGACTTAGGACTCCAACACAATAAGATAAGTCCGGTCTTGTATGCAGTAAGTAACGAAGGCAGCCAACATTCTTCCTAAACCAAGTTGCATCGATCTCCCTTTCATCTTCAGACTTAGCTAGTTTTAACCCAGATTCCATTGGAATATGAACTGAATTGCAGTCCTTCATTCCTGCTTCTTCTAAGATCTTTTGTGCATAACGTTTCTGACTTAGCGTTATTCCTTCTTTACGCTGACATACCTTAATTCCGAGATAGTAAGTTAACTTCCCGAGATTACTCATCTCAAACTTGGAGGCCATCTCTTCTTTAAACTTCTCAATGATGTGTAAGCTTGTTCCTGTCACAAAAAGATCGTCTACATAGACTGCCACGATAAGGAGATTCCCACTCACTTCCTTTCGATAAACTGATGGCTCTTTGGAACACTTTTTAAAGTGAAGTCCCATGAGAATTTGATTCAGTTTGTTGTTCCATGCCCTCGGCGCCTGTCTTAATCCGTACAATGCCTTGTTGAGCTTATAGACCTTGTTTTCTTGCCCCTTTTCTCAAAACCTTCTGGTTGCAGAACATAAATGGTCTCCATCAGTTCCCCATGTAGAAACGTTGTTTTTACATCAAAATGGTGAATCTCCCAACCGTTGGATGCCGCTAGATTGATCAAAAGTCGTATCGACTCGATTCGAGCTACTGGAGCGAAAATTTCCTCAAAGTCCACTCTGTATTGTTGCACATATCCCTTAGCAACCAGTCGCGCTTTGTACTTGTTAATAGTACCATCCGAATTTCGCTTAAGCTTGAAGACCCACTTTAAGCCAATCGGTTTAACTCCTTCTGGTAGATCTGCAAGGTTCCATGTGTGATTCCTTTCGATGGAACATATCTCGTCTTCGCACGCCAACATCCATTCTCTCGATAATTTTGCTTCACGGAAGTTACTTGGTTCGTTGTTTAAACTCAGCACCAACATCTCTCCTTCCTCTTCAGCGAGAAGTACGTAGTCCTCCAGATATGATGGCAAGTTACTTTCTCGTTCTGTACGTCTCAATACAGGTGCTGGCGCTACACTCTGTTTTTCAGTGCTCTGTTTTTCTGGGTTTCTTCTAACAGAAGCTGTACTCTGTTTTTCACCACTCTGTTGTTTAACACTCTGTTTCCCGGAGCTGCTTCGAACAGGTGTATATGGATTCTCCTGTGGCAGTTCGCTTTCTCGAGACGTCTCAGTACCACCATTATCAACTGCTTCGTTCACAGTTTCATTACCCTCTGTAATGCTCTGTTCTGCGGGATCATCTACTCGCCCTTCTTGAATACCACGATTTACAAAATTCCCAAGAATAATACTGAAACTTCCAACTTGATCCGGATGATCATGACTCCAGTTCCAGCCTTTCGCTTCGTCAAAAACAACATCTCTGCTCACCACTATTCTTCGTGACACGGGATCGAGCAATCGGTAAGCTTTCGATCCTGGTTCTGTTCCTAGATGCACCAACATTCGTGATCTGTCATCTAACTTTCTTAGATGTGGCTTTTCTACTTTCGCGAAACCAATGCATCCAAAGACCCTAAGGTGACTAATCTTAGGTTTCTTATTCTTCAAAACTTCATATGGGGTCTTCTCTTTAAGTGCTCTCGTCGCTATCCTGTTCAAGAGATAGGTGGAATGTCGTATCGCTTCACCCCATAGCGAATTAGGAACATGCATATGCTTCAGGATACTTCTAGTCATCTCTATCAAGGTCTTATTACGCCTCTCCACCACGCCATTTTGTTGGAGAGTGTATGGTGCCGTAAGATGCCGTTTAATTCCCGACTCATCACAGAATAAGTTGAATTCCTGAGATACGAACTCTCCTCCTCTATCTGTCCTGAAGATTTTTATATTTGCGCTTGTATCCTGCTCTACTAATCGCTTAAACTTCTTAAATTTGTTGAAAGCTTCGCCCTTTTCTTTCAACAAAATTATCCACATATATCGTGAGTGGTCATCAATAAGTACAAAGATGTACTTGTTTCCTGCAATCGTACTCGATGTTATGGGACCACAGAGATCTCCGTGAATGAGCTCAAGTATCGTGTTTGCTCGATAAGTGGAGGCTTGGGGAAAGACTTGTCTCGTTTGTTTCCCAAGTAGACACGATCCACAGATCTCCTTCTCAAACGTAAAACGTGGGACTCCCAGGACTAGCTCTCGTTGAACCATAGACTTCATTGTTTCTAGGTTTATATAACCCATCCTAGCGTGCCATCTATTCGAGTCGCTTGTTGCTGTTAAGTGTAAGCGAGCTGTATCCTTTAACCCCATATGTACCTTATACAATCGATTCTTTGCTCTATCTGCCTTAACAAGCAGCTTTCCGTCAACGTCATGCATTGTTAGTTGTCCGCCTCTCATCCTGATGTCGCACCCAATCTCTGTAGCTTGTCCTAAGCTGATAATATTGCTCTTCAAATCAGGTATGAAGTACACATCATGCATTACGCGCGGTTTCCCATTCATGTTAATAAAAGAGATTGATCCTTTCCCTTTTATATCTATGCGAGAGTCGTCTCCAAATCTTACTTTTCCGGTGATTGACTCGTCGATTCTGCTGAAATACCTTCTATCTCCTGTCATATGGTTACTAGCTCCGTTATCAAGGTACCACACATTCTCGTCCTTTGTAGTTTTCTCATACTTGCTAGGTATGCACTTCTTCTCGTTTAAATACACCACTTCATGCATCAACAGATCGTCTGCTTCTTGTGTGTCGTCTTGTTCATCTTCTTGAGCTTCCTGTAGTTTAAGTAATCTGTCCGGGCATACAGAGGCATAGTGACCCATCTTGTCACAACGAAAACACATCACTTTTGATGTATCTCTTCCCCCATTAGATCGTCCGCGACCTCTTCCTCTGTAACGTCCGCCTCGTCCCCTGGTTTTGTATTCGCCATTGTAGTCACGATTTGACTGGTTTGATTGGTTGCTCGGAGTTTCTTCATTCAGATACATAAGTTTGCTTGTATCTTCTTGTGTATCATCTTCTTCAGAGATTCGCTCTTCATAAGCCTTTAAACGCCTGATGATATCTTCGAAGCTTGTAGTATTGAGGTCCAATACTTGTTCCAGCGAAGCCACTATATGTATGTACTTCTTCCGTGGAAGACAATTGAGAAACTTCTTAACCAACTTAGGTTCTTCAATGGTCACTCCCAGAGCGGCTGATTTCGATGATACCTCGGACAGTTTGCCCGCAAAATCATCTATTTTATCAGAATCCTTCATCTTCAGTCGTTCAAACTCTGCCATTAGAGTCTGTAACCTAGCTTCTTTAACTCTTTCAGCGCCCACATATCTTGCCCTAATAGCTTCCCACACTTTCTTCGCGGTATCAAGCTCTCCGACTTGCAAGATTAGCGTTTCAGGTATCGACTGAAACAACAGGGCTATAGTCATATTGTTTTTATCTCCATCAGGTGGATCTGCTTCTGTCTCTACAACTTCCCAAACTTTGTGATCTTTGAGAGTTATCTTCATCCGCATAGCCCATACCGTGTAGTTAGTTGCGTTGAGCATGGGGCATGCGATCGATGAAGGTCCTCCTCCTTCTTTAGGTTTTGGTACTGCTGCGACAATGTCTCCCATATCTCTTTCACGATTTTCTCAATGTTCTGAAGTTCTGATACCAATTATTGAATTGTAACAGAATCTAAAGAACACAAGTTAACAAAGATTGATAAAGAATGACTCTCTTTATTAGTTTAAGAAAATAGCTCAAAACTTAAACTCTCAATCTCTTTCACTTAGCATATGTCACAACTCGACATTGCTTTATATAAGATGTTATCAATCCTAATCCCTTTGGAGAATACATTTAGATAACTTCTAAACAACTCTCTTTAATCATAATCTCATTAGGTATCTCAATCTTATTAGGATTAGGATAGCTTATGTCTCAAGCTTCCATCAAGCTTAAATCCAACAAGGGAATCTTTCTAGACAGTTTATTGCCTATCTTGGCGGATCCTGCTATGCCAGACTGCTGAGGATCCACGCTCTGAATTCCCTTTTTCTTTGTATCGGCTGGAGGTGGCACGAGTACACATGTAGACATTTTGAAGCTTGGGATTTGGGAATTAATGATGCGATTTCTAATGAGCTTCGACGGTCGAAAGTAATAAGAGTCAGTCTTTTATTATTATTATTGTTCGTTTGCTTAAATGCAAAAGCAGCTTCTTATATAAAGATCTGACATGTAAACGTTTAATTAAAAAGTACTCATAAGTTGAGCAGCATTGATAGAAATAGGATAATTACTAGTAGATGAGATTGCCTCGAATTGAACTTGCACGGACAGAGTATAATTCACGATGAAGCCTTTGGCTGGATTTTGGAGATCAGTCAAAAGACACGAACTGCTAGAAGCCAGAACCTTCTCCTGGTGTGTCGAACCATGATATAGAAACTGCCAAGAACAAAAGAAAATTGTTTATGTTACACTAATATTGCAGCTTATATACATAAAGTCATAATCATGTAAGCTTTAATTTAGACAATTTTCTTGGTTTTTCGAGATGTTTTTATTGTTTTTGGTCAAGAACTCGCAGCTTGGCTCGGACATAAACCTATTCATAAGATTTCAAGTTTTGTTCTATCGTTGACATTGATTTTGTGGGATACATGGAGAGCGCCGCGAGAGAATTTGGCAGATAAAATCTAAGACTGTTATAACAATCTCTTGTCCCCGTCTAGTAATTAGCGTTTGCTAAATAAGTAATAGAAGAAAAATTAACATTCTTATAAATTACATCCCAAAATGTCTCTTGTGTCAATTATTACATGGACGGGTTGTTAAAGAGCAATATAAATCTAGGAAGGTTCTCAAGAGCCACTGTGAAGAGGCCACCAAGGATAAACATGAGAACAAATGCAATCATTATTCTCCAAATGTATTTCAGACTTTGATCTCCTTCTACTTCTGGTTTCGATTCCCTCGTGGACTTTGAATCTTCGGAGCCCTGCAAAGCAAACCCACAAACGCGTCGAGAAGCATTTCTCAACAATCCAATTGCAACCAAACAAAAGCAAACAGATTTGAGACCGAGCATAAGACTTAGGTTGGCTTGGTTTCAGGTATTGTGGTTATGCGAGTTTAGGGTTCCGTAAGTCTAAGCATTGGTCTTTTGGTTATCTCTCTGGTTTGTACTTTGTACCAAGTTAAAACAAACAACATTGTACTGTTTCTATACAGATCGTTCTCTCTTCCAACAGAAAATAGGCAATAAGTTTCTTTATCAGTTATGGTTCTAGACTCTCTTCACTCTACATGAACTGTGAAATTGAAAAGATTCATAACACAATCTCACTGTGAAGTTAATAACAAACTCAAGATACTTACCGTTGATAATAGTGAAGGAAACTTTCGCGGTAGATGCCGCTGAAAAGCTTCCTTTTTCTCAATTCCTGTATTAAAAAAAGGATTGTAAACAAAGTATTACATTTGGCAAAAACAAAAAAAAAGTATTCATCACATTTCCATTGGTTTGATGCATAAAAAAATGTTGATTTCATGCCACACTTGCTTTAAGTACAAATATAATAAGATAGCTGGAAAAAAAATGAGTCTAAGAATCTGAGATTTCTGGCATAACATTATTATTTGCTCAAACATGCATCATTTGCTCTTACTATGACCACCATTTACATTTCCACAAGATTAATGGTACATTTGTCACTAAGCTATGAGCACATATCATTTTAGATTTTCAGCTTAATCAATACAAGAACACTGAAACCAATAATTCTACACAAAGAGCAGACATGTTCTCAAATCCAGGTCCTGAAACTGACAAGAACTAAATTACCATATTTTTGATGCATCACAAAATGTACATCTAAAAAAAGTGTTACTAACATCACCATCTGAATCTAAGTCTAGGAAACGGATATAATTCATCCATAACTAATACCTAAGTCTTTTTTAAAAATTTGCTCTACACTAATATATAATAAGAAGAGAGCAACTAATTAAGCCTAAGTATCTGAGATTTTTGTCTTAACATTCCATTTTTCGCATCATGATCACTATGTCCACCATTCACAATTACATAAGCACAACAGTTCTTGTGAAGCCAAATAATTGCACCTTGTCACAAAACGGGAGTACAAATCATTTTAGTTTTTCAGTTAATCAAAACAAGAACATTAAAACATGTTCTCAGACTCAAATCCTGAAACCGAAAAGAAGTCAAATTACCAGGAAAGTCAGCGTCAATCACTGTCTTCAACTTCCAACCATGTCCATAATCCACAAGAGAGGCACCATCCCCAAAACTGATGGGCTCTTCACCTTCCTTCACCGCTTCGATGTAAATCACTCGGGATCTCAACGGACCAAGTTTCCTATTGATTACGAAGACAGCAAATTCCGCCTTCGTCCCAGACGTGAAGCGATAGTTCTTACCAGAAATCTCACAGAACACCTCCAGAAACTAGTATGTCCACAACCAACAATGAATTTAGCAAGACGGTGACGTAGAAAGACATAAAGCTAAGGAGTAAGGGAAACTTACGGGCGAAGTATCGTCCACCATTAGACAGAGTATTGACTCAAACTACACTCTGCCAAAAGAAGCAAATCAGTTAATCAATGTGGATGTAAAGACTAAAGTGACTAAGAAGATCTATCAAGCCAATAAGATGCTTGAAGCCTCAAATAGCCAAACATGAAAAATACTTTCAGAGAACAAACACAAGTTCAACAACGAAGCCAAATGTCCTATAACAAATTCTCTCAACACACACTTGACTTTCAAGTAGATTTTACAGCAAAGGGTACATAAACACACAATTTGATGAAAAAAACATATCTTGAAGACAATATTCTGTCTAAGTTCTTCAGAAATTAAGTGAGCAAAGTGCTAAGCCTGACAAAAAGATAAAAAATTTAACTAAAAAACGATATACCAAACACTTTCTGACAAATTAAAATAAGAAGATAAATCTAGCCAATAAGATGCTTAAAGCCTCAAAAAGCCAAACATGAAAGTTAGTTATGTAAGCTGTCCAGAGAACAAACATAAGTTCATCAAGGACGCCAATGTCCTATAACATACACAAAGTTCATCAAATCTAGATTTTTACAGAAAAAGGTACACAAACACACAATTTGATGAACATATCTTGAAAACAACATCTGTCTAAGATCTTCAGAAATTGAGTGAGCTAAAAGCTACGCCTGACAAAAAGATAAGATTTTTCACTAAACAACAATATACCAAACACTTTCGGACAAACTAAAATAAAATGTTCGATATTGTTACTGATTAAGTCTGATGTGAACCAAAATTCTATGGAAGGTTAATAGATCAGGAAACCAGAACAAATCGAATCTGATCTATGTAATATGTGAAGGAAATTAAAGTAAGAACAATCGGAAATTTTACACTAAGCTTGCGAGGGAAAGCGAAGATGATGGGGGGTATTAACAATCTCGAGAATCTTTACAATCCCAGAAAATCTATTAGAGACTATCAGCAGAAACTGGGAAAGAAATAGAGAGAGAGAGAGATTAGACATAAAACCTCAGGCGATTCCCTTGTAGAAGAGGTTGCGAGCGCGACCGAGAAACAGAGCAGAGCGATCGAGAAAGAGGGAGGTCTGTGTGTGTTTGAGAGGGAAGAGACAAAGGGATCAAAATCTCATATAACCTTCCGGAAGTCATGCTGAGATCTTTTTTATGATTTAATTTTTGATTTTTTTTTAATAAATAAAAATAGCAAAATGACTATTTTGTTCTTTTTTAAATAACTCATTTTGGCTTCTTTTTCCTTCGATTAATTCCCTTTTTACCGATCAATTTTCTTTAAATCCCTAATTCTCAATTCACTCCTCCCCTCTCTATCTCTGAAATCCTCGAAATCCTCTTTCAAATCCTTCAAATCCACCATCCGAACTTCAACCAGTTACTGATTTTTCGAGATTATGGCACCTTGTACAAGAGGAGGAGGGAGAGTTCGGTTGAGAACGCCCACGTCCTCACCAGATCCTCCACTGCCGCTGCCGCCGTCGAGATCAAAATCGCCGGCAAAGAAGAAGCGTCCTGCAGGAAGGGGAGGAAAAGAAAAGAGACCGCAGAAGAAATCGAAACCTGGAACTTCCAGTGCTTCGCTTCCGCCTCCGGTGGCTCGGATGGATGTCCGATAAGAAGAAAGCATTGGCGAGAGCCCTCCCCTTGCCGTATGGCTCTGACGGTGCAATTGGCAACCAGTCCGCATGTGATTCCAGAACCGGCAACCGGTCATTCCCCATCGCAACTGGCTTCCCCATCGCAACTGCCTTCACCGTCGCAACCGGCACCGTCGCAACTGGCTTCACCGTCGCAACCACCTTCATCGTCGCAACCACCGGTAAATCTTAAATTGGCTAGTGTAACTAGGTCCAACTAGTCCGACTAGTAGGAGTAGTTCAACTAGTTTAAGTAGTCCGGCTAATATGCGTAGTTCAACTAGTCTAAGTAGAACGGTTAGTATAACTAGTGTAATTAGTTCAACTAGTCTAAGTTATATAACTAGTGTAACTAGTTCAACTAGTCTAAATTGTATAACTAGTGTAATTAGTTCAACTAGTCTAAGTTGTATAACTAGTGTAATTAGTTTAACTAGTCTAAGTTGTATAACTAGTGTAATTAGTTCAACTAGTCTAAGTAGTTCAAGTAGTCTAATTAGTCCAGCTCTTTTTTTCAGGATTATGATGAGGAACCTATGCAACCACTTGGTTATTTCTTTAAAACGTCGGATTATAGAAAAGGATGCAAGATGGCATCAAGGTGCCCTCAACATAAATTTGTGGAAATCGTAAAAGGTTTTAAAGACAGAGTAAAGGACTGGTTTGTCAATCACCCTCAGTTCAGGCACATCTTCCATATGGTTAGACACAAGACGAGGAAGGTTATGGGATTGTGGATGCTGCTTCTCCGCACTGCCAAAACGGAGAAACGGAAACAAGCATGGTTCATGGTGAATGGTGTGCCCATTCGGTACTCCATCCAAGAACATGCCCTCCTCTCGGGGTTAGACTGCCACCTCTACCCAGATGGTCATGAGAAGTTGGGGAGCATGAACTTTGTGGCTGAACACTTTGGAGAAGGGAAGGAAAAAATATCTGTTGAAGAAGTGTTGGATAAGCTGACTGAAATGGAGTATGATGGCAGTGATGATCGCCTGAAGATGGCGTTATTGTACTTCCTAGCCGCTGTGCTAAAAAGAAGGTCAAATGTTGGAGCCCCAATAGAGCCATTCCTCTTGAGAGTTGTCGATGACCTGCATCTCTGTGAAATATTTCCGTGGGGTCGTTTCACATTTGAGGACAACATGAAGGAGATATTCCATGCACAACCATTTCAGAGGGAAGCTTTCAGAGAAACCAAATTGGACATTTCCAAGGTTCATCAACCCTTTGGAGGTAATTGTTATTTAATTTTTCAAATTAAGATAAGTTGTCTGACAGTATAACTGGTATAACTGATAAAACTATATATGCAGATTTTGGCGTTTGAATCTATTCCAGCTCTGAAGACCGAGTTTCGAGCAAAAGTAGAAGGTGCCGATGCTGGATGTCCGAGAATGTGCAGATGGAAGTTTAGGGAGACTGGTGCAAATGGGTTTGGTTTGGATGAAATATATGCCACTCTTGGAGATACAAAGGTTAAATTCACTTTCGTAAGTTTCATAAATATCATTTTTGTAGTGTTTTGGTGTAATTATTTATTTTTTGTATGCTTCAGGATATTTCTAGTATTTTGGAACGTGAGGGTGATGAAATGATTCTCATGGAGGAGCTCATGGAAGAAGATCTATGGTGCGACTATGAACTACTTGATGATGATGATGCGATCGACCATATTGTTGACGGTTGGAACAGATTTTTAATCCGCGGACATGGGAAGATCTGCTGGGAAGATATCAGGAAGAAAGATATTCAATCTCGAGGAGGAGTTGAATCAGTTGAATCAGTTGAACCGGTTGAACCAGTTGTACATGCGCAAATAGCTGAAGCACCACGACATCAAGATCTCGAGGATATAAAGGAAGCTATGCAGGTGATGATAAATACAATGGAAGAAGGGTTTAAGGGGATTAAAGAGGTGATCGGGCGTATGGAGATACGGGTGAGATCTTTGGAAAATTTCAGAAGGGATTTTCAGTGGAAGTGGGAAAGCTACAAGATGAGTGGTTTCCAAAAATCCCTAGATACACAAGGTAAATTTCTTGACTTTTTATTGCAGTTATGTTGAAGGTGTTGCATTGAATGTTTCTTGCACTTTTCCTATGTTGCAGAGCCTAAGGAGAAAGCGGTTGAGTCTGATGCATTGGAGAATGCTACAGAGAAACCTGGAAAGAAATCGACTGATCCGTGTGATAATGGTATGTTGAATTGATAAATTTGTTGGATAACTAGTATAATTAGTATAACTAAGAAGATTAGTAAAACTAGTATAACTAGGATGACTAGTATAATTATAACATTTTTTATGTTGCAGAGGCTAGAGAGAAATCGGCTGAGGAGCCTGGAGAGCAACAACCTGTAATTGAGGAGCCTGGACAGAAAGCGGCTGGGGAAAGTGATGATAGTATGTTAACTAAGCCTGTGGAGAAGGCGCCTGGAGATGCTGGTATGTTGAGTGTAACTAGGATGACTGTATGTTGAGTACAACTAGTAAAACTAGTATTACTAGGATTATTAGTATAACTAGAGACGGTTGGTTCAACTAGTTTAAGTTTTTCTATGTTGCAGAGCTTGTAGAGAAGGACATTGCTGAAGAGGAGGCTATTGCTGCAGAGAAGGCGGTCGCAGAGCTTGCAGAGAAGGCGATTGCAGATGTTATTTTTGGTAAAAAAATGGTTCGATTTATATTTCAGTACTTCATAAAACATAGCTGTTTTTTATGATGATAGGATATGATAATGCAGGTGCGGAGACTCAAGAGGACAATGTTGTCGCAGCCGAGCCTGCTTTTGGTGAGAAATAGTTCGCTTTTACACTTTTTTTACTCTTTTAATTATCTCACTAAAGAATTTGATTATAATTATTAGTCTGATTTGCTTTGAATTTTTTTTTTCTGCAGAGAGAAAAGTCTACAAGTCTAGTGTGAAAGTCCTTACAGCTAAGAGGTTGATCAAAAAGTGTATGAAGTCAAGATCTTCCAGAACTCCAAAAACTCCAAGGCCTAGGAGAAATCTGAAGCCTTCAGACCATGGCTTGCAGACCTTTTACGTTTTCCGCATAGTTAGTCCATGTAGACCGCTTCCTTCGTGGAACGCTCGCCGGTGTTCCCCCCTCCTTCTAGCGCCAACTGTTTGTGAGCAAATTTTAGCATGCCACATGGGGGTGTGTGATTTATCCGGGGAGTGGAGTTGTGCTTCCGAGTTTTGTCCTCTATGAAAAAAGGCGACGAGTTGTTTTGGGGCGGAAGTCTGCTTAAGTCCTGGTTGCGGGGTAATCGTAATGCGGGATTCTGCAAGCACTACACAAGTGGTCAATTAGGCCTTCGGGAAGACCGGAAAAGGGTTTTCCTCCCGAAGATTCTCCGACGCCCAAGTCAATGAACGCCTTACCGGGAACGAGTGCTCATAAAGGGGATTTTTACAGGTTATGGATGAGAATTCTCGTCCGGGGATCGAGACTACTATTTGTGTACGAGTGTTTCGAGGGGTATCCTAAGCAAAGGGAGATGATGTGACTTGTATAAAGGCAAGGTTCCGGGTAGAGATAGACTTATCTTTAAAGGCATTCACTCGAGAGAACAAAAGGGTTCTCCCTTGATCGTGCTGCTTGCCGGGGCCGGCTGATTTGACCTCGGCTGGTTACCTCTTCCTTTAGAGGGGTTTCAGATCTGCCGAACCCGTCTCCTGCTCATGTGGTGGTCTCTCTCCTTTTATATTGATAATCTCCATGTTCTGTCCTCTCCATTCGGCGCGCCAGAGGAGTAGGTGGTGATGATGATTGTTGCGTGTTTGAGGAAGCTCGCCAACTGCTTGGAAACAGTGTACGGGGGTGGTTCGGCCGAGCTAGTATGGCGTGTGTTAGTGTCTAGGACAGTTTATCATCCACGTGTCGGATCCTCCTTGGACCTGATAAAATCAGTCCCAACAACTATACTCCAAAAGAATCAGAAAAAATAATGAATTTTCTTTCATTCTTTAAAATTTGTTATAGTCTAAATATTATTGGAATGAGAGAAAATAATGAATTTTCTTTCATTCCGACACTAAGTAGTGATTTGTTATGGATTATTTATGAGTATTATTGGTATTTTGCTTTAGGTTCTTTTTTCAAGTTGCTTTAGTTTTTTTCTCTTTGAGCTAATCATAATTAAAAGCAACATTTTTACTTTTAGAATTTTTTTTCTTTAATATAATAACCTTTTAATCTTTTCTTTGTTCCTTTCTCCTTGCAATAAATATTTTCTTGTTTTTTTCTTTATAATTTAATCAATTTTGTTTACTAATAATAGCAATAAAAACAAAACTTATAATTGGTGTATGTTCTTTGAGTGGTTAGAGCATCTGCATTAGTGAGAGATTCACATGAGTCTCTAACCAATTTAATAACATTAATTTTAATATTATTTGATTATATTTTTTTATTTAAATTAAAATGAAAAATTTAACCAATGATACAGAGAGAACACATGAGATGAGTCTCTCATAATCTCACAAATGAGAGACTCTCTCCATTCTCTCTCTTCTCCTTTTTCAGTTTTATTAATTTTTAAATATGAGAGACTTGATGAGAGATCCCCACTAGAGATGGTCTTAGGTCACACTAAAGACTTGTTCAAATGGATTCCTTAAGGTTTTAACGGTAAATAAGGAAGAAGCAAAGCAAGCGTAGATTCAACGCGAGTTTTTTTTGATGTATTCTCACACTCCATGCTTTTCAACAACTATGACTGAGCACACGTACCACATCTCTCTTTTACATGTTTCATATTTTTCTCCTTCCTAAGCTAATTTTGAGTATATGAAAAATTAGTCATTTTTATCAATTTCCTCCAGTTTAGAGAGAGAAGGACAATTATTTATCATTTTTCCGTCTTTCGCCATTATAAGAAAACAGTTCAATTATGACAGAAAATTTTGCTATAAGTTGATGAAATCCGAATGATTATAAAGAACACAATGGTAAGTAATGATGATGATGATGATGATCCATTTGTACGTGAAGAACAACGGATGATTGATTGAAAAATGGTAAAGATGAAAGATTGTATGGACACTAAGGATGCAGAAAGGCTTTAGATTCACCGTGGATCGAATGGCCACACAAAGGAAATGAAAGAATCTTTGATTTACCGTGATCTAATCTTAAGAGTTTTAGAATAAAAAGATGGG